AGTAGAGGATGTTTATCATGTGAACCCTGCAGAATTCTCTGAGCCAGCTGTTATAAAAACATCAGTATACCATGAAGTTATGCACAGCTTTGAGGAAATAATAGCTGCAATTAGCACATAATACATAGTTTTGGCTTGTGGCTGAGGGAGGAAATGATATTGAAGTCAGCTAAAATATATTTTATCATCTTCTAAACAGAACAGATTTCAGAATGGCAAATGTCATTTTAGTTAACGCTGAGGTGTTTGCTTTAGGCCCTGTACAAAAATACAATACATTTGGTTTTAAGCTCATTGGTATGAGCTGATTTGAAGGAATTGTGCAGCTACCACGTTCTGCAGTTCCTGAAATGTCCCTGTTAAATGAACATTGTGACACCAAACATTCCAGTCCATTTTTTCCCAGCCATTTAAATTTGATAAATTTAAATGTTAAATTTGCTCCATGTTAAATTTGATCCAATTTTGTGAACACTTTTGATCCATTCAGAACTGAATCTTACCTATCCATACAATATTTTACTTATCCCTAAAACAGACTTGACTTTTTGTAAATTCAGGACATATTGTGCTCAACACATCCTTTGGCATTTCCTCGTGAGCAATGGTTTTAGAGCTCTTTGCACTTCTCTTAATCCTTTTTGATTCATGCATCTTTATTTTTTTAAGTAGAGATAAACCTACATTTAGCTACACAAGCAAGTGCACTGTGCCTCATTTTAAAACCCATTTTGCTTTGGTTTCATGTTTGTTTATGCCTACAGAAGAATATTGAGAGAGGGTTACTTAGCTTCAAGTTTGGGGACCCTACTGCTAAAATGAACTGGGTGCATGCAGAGAATCTTGTCCAAGCTCAAATTCTTGCTGCTGAAGCTCTCACTCCTGAAAAGAACTACATAGCTGTAAGTACATAACAAATGCACCACAGTTTTTGTTTGGCAGTGGATCCTGCCACTGTATCCTGTGCTATGGGAACCACTGTAGAAGGAGTAATTAGAGTTGTTGTCCTTCAGCTTATGTTGTTGTCTGTGTTTTCAGCTGATAAATGTGCTATGAGCAGTGTGGGACTGGGCAGTGTTGGCTGTGCAGTGTGTTAGGAGTTGGGATACTGAGTTCTGTAAGAATATCTCCATCTTTGTATTGTTTTAATATAGCATTTGCCATTTGTGGAAGATGAGCAAAGAATGTTTGCTATGTTGGAAATGAAGTGGAAGTTCAGGCAGATTTATCCCTTGTTCCCCTGCATATAGGTCCAGGTTTAATGCTCTGAACTGTGATGAACAGTTCTTCCCATGCCACGTACCAATAGAAACACATTTCATTTGGGCTCATTGCTTTAAAAAATCACTGCAACTGTTTTTCTCCTCGTAAGCACAGGTTTTTCTTTACCTAGAAGCTCTGCTCTTAAAGCATAGTATAAACAGTTTCAGAGTAGATTGAACTACTTTTTCTAAAACCCTGAAAGCAAAAAGGG